AATTTCTTATATTTATTATGTCAAATTTTTCAATCACACATATTATCTATCCTTTTCTTATAGATGCTAATATTTTAAAAACAAAACTGAAAATTAAAGAACTTGATATAATGTATATAAACAGCTTGATGTGACTATTGCCCTTAACTTTATATCGAATATTAAACTTAAGTTAAAAAAATTTATATGATACTCATCAATTGCCAGGACATTGTTTCTCTTTTAATTGATTTCTCATCTTATTCTATTAATGTTGTTTCTTTATCTTTTTTTTCTTGATTAGTTAAAAAAATCATATAATTCGATTTTTTACATAAATGTGTGTGAAACCAATGAATTTATTTGGAGGGAACATAGACAATCACACAAAAGAACATGTCACTATATATTTACTATTGAAAATTAGGAAAATTAGACTGGCTAGTAGACGGGTTGAAATAGTAGGTCATGAGTTAATGAGTTGGATTGAAATTGCTTTAGAATCAGTCTGATAAAATTAAAAAAAATATAATTCATATGAAATATATAAAAATATTTGCATTTAGTTATAAAAATAATTTAATAAAATAATATTCAAAAATAGCCTATTAAAATAACAAAAATGATATATATGGTATATGTTTTAGTGTATAAGGTATATTTATTAGAATGATCAATAACGGCCATCCCGACCCTAAAAGGCTGGCCTTCCAAGAGATAGGGTCTAAAAAGATGGCCTTTTTAAAATCCGTATATCTAAAAATTGTCATATTCTTAAAGCTCGGCTCTTGGATATGCTGGCTTAGAGTTTAAAAGGTTGGCCCTTTTATGTTTTTTTTTTAAATTTAAATTCTTTTCAATTATTTTAAAACAAAAGGTATAACAAATAAAACATCTATATTTTTTTATTCAAATTATAAATATTAGTAAAATAAACTAATGGTATATAGAAAAAAAACATCAAACATCAATAAATTATTGTCCCAACTCAATTATGTTCGGTTTTTTAATATAAAATTTAGTTGAGATCAATTGTGGTCATAATCATAAATAAGACTCTATCAATTTTATTTATAATATTTATCTATTTTGCCCTCAAGTAATTTCTATATGGTGATTGTACATGTGAAGGAATTTATCAAGATATAATTCAAATGCATATGATTAATAAGAGCATTTAAGAAAGACTATTCATATACTATAAATAATTAATTTAACGTAATTTTTTTAATATTTATAAATTAGCTATTTCTTTTGAATTCTAATATTAAGGACAAGATGTAGTATAAATTAGGTTTCGAGCTGGGGTGATAAATTTGGAAAAAAAATAAATTGTTGTTAGGAAAATAAGGAATATAAAGAGATTTGAAATTAGAGAAAGAGTAAGAGAGAATTGGAGAGAAGGAGGAAGTGTATTCTTATTTACTTGGATGGTAGAATTGTATATTACATAACCTTTTATTTATAGGGTTCTAGCTTTATCAAGAGTTATATTGAATAAATGAAATAATTAACATGAGTGCATAATATGTAATTTTGGGTTATGAAATGAAAACTCCTAAAAATATTTTCATTAGAAAGATTGTGGAGCGTGGAATATGAAAAGCCAAGGATTATGATATCCATATAATTTAATATTTAGTATAACATTGTCCATGTTTTAAACGAGATTTCACTTCATAGAATTCATTTTTGTTTTGATAAGCTTTTAAGGCCCCCCCTTTTTAGCAAAAACTGTTTTGATAAGCGTCACTTTATGGAATTCTTAACAGTTAACATAATATAATTCTTCATATTTAATAAGATTCAATTAATCAACCGTTTTCTTAAAAGTTTAAAATCTCTTCCACCAAGCGGCAATGAAAAGATGGCTCATTTTTGACTCAGTCGGGGAAAAAAAGGAAATCTCACAAAAAAAACTTAAAATTACTAAATTTGAAATAAATAATATAACAAAAATGTATTACTCCTCCGGTCCTTATTATAAGACCCAATTTGACTTTTTATTTGGTCCTAATTATAAGACCCAATCCATTTTGTCTCTTATATTTATGCATTTTTTTCCAAGATAATCCTTCTAATAATGATAGTTTTAGCCAATATACTTAATTAGTAAGGATATTTTAGGAATGACAACACTTATTTATTATAAATAACTAACTTACTTACTTCCTTAATCTCCTCAAATAAGTCAATTGGGTCTTATAATTAGGACCGGAGGAGTATTATTTATAAGTTTAGTGTTGTCAAACCTATTCCACTATTATTATCAAACTTAATTTAGGATTTAATAATTTTAAGTATCTTTTTATGAAATTCTAATAAAAAAGGCTTCGTCCGAGGTGACCTTCCGTGCTTCACTTTATTTTATTAGTTTATTTTGAAATCCTTTTTCGCCTCATATATATTGCCTTCCTTACATGTCCAACAGCAGAATGGGATTCGTAGATGGCACTTGCAAATATTTGTATATGTTTTAAAGACAAAGTCTTCAAAAGAAAAGGCAACCATGAATTTTCCAAATTATTTGCAGCTTTTGTTCCCCTTTTTTTGTTTTCTCCCTTTTTAAAAAATAAATAATCTTATTCATGATTCATAAATTCTCATATATTCTCGATAAACAAGCCCTGAAAAGAAAACTCAATGGAATCCATTTAATAATTTAAATATAGCGGAAGAAAATTAAATGGAACATGTAAACCGACATAAAATACTAAGTTTAAATTTCGAATGTTCCTGCCACAGATAATAATGTATATAAATGCTTGACGAAATCAATACTCCTCCGGTCCTAATTATAAGACCCAATTGACTTATTTGAGGAGATTAAGGAAGTAAGTTAAGTTGGTTATTTATAATAAATAAGTGTTGTCATTCCTAAAATATCCTTGCTAATTAAGTATATTGGCTAAAACTATCATTATTAGAAGGATTATCTTGGAAAAAAATATATAAATATAAAAGAGAAAATGGATTGGGTCTTATAATTAGGACCAAATAAAAAATCAAATTGGATCTTATAATAAAAACCGGATGAGTATTAGTTTTGATCAACACCACGGATAATAATGTATATGAATGCTTGACGAAAGCCCATTACAAAAAGCGAAACCAAAATAGTCGTTGGGCTTTAGATGCGCCCTTTAACAATTGTGATTACTCTTAGTCGGCTTATTTATATCGACTTGGAATCAATTCGCTCGAGACTTAATTTCGTTATGACTGCTTAAGCTTGAAAAGAAACACTTGACTTCCACAGTTCAAAGTGTTGGCACATGTATATTATTAAAAAGAAAAAAGGACAATGCACGTGTAAGTCATATGATTTTCTATACATATGTGCGCGCATGTGTATAATCTTCAAGTTGGTATGAATGGCTAAATTTTTAATAACAGTGCAAGGAGCATAGTGCTCTAAGCTAGTTTTGTTTTGTATTCAACCTTTCACATCATAGTGTTCAAAAATGGCCAAAGTAGTTGCTCGGTCAGTCTCCCAACATTTCTTCATCACTATTTATGAGTTCAAATCGAACAGCAATCACTTTTGTAACCTCTGCGATCGAATGCTACAGATTAATGGTGTGTTTGGATAGAAACCAAACCATGGTTTCAGAAGTACTTTTACGGATTACGAAGTAAATATGTGGAGGAGATTATCTCGTTTTGCGGAAAAGTGCTTCTGAAACCACAGTTTTGGGATACCCAAACAGGCCCTAAGTTCTTCCAAAATATCTTCCAGAGTAACAATCTGTCAAATTCACCAAAAATTAGATATGTAAATTCTAAATAAATTTAAACAAGTTAATTAAAAACAAATTCATAATACTGGAAGGAAACTGTCATTAGAAATTGTTCATTAATTGTAATAAAAAATAGGAGAGGTAAAAGCTAGAGATAAATGTGAACAATGTATATCTATGGGCCTTTAGAAACTTAAAAATTTGTACATACGCCCACAGTTACGCCATGTTCATTAAGAACAATAGCCATGTGAACCTTTCGACTTCGAAACTCTCTGAGCAGACTCTGAAGATGCATTGAATCTGCAAAAACAGTAACTGGAGTTTATTCATTCAATACATGAAAATGTTGGACATGTTAACAGCAGTGAGTAACCACAAATAAAATACATGAAAATGATTTTCACATTAAGACTGAGATAGAAATAAATTACCCGGTACAAAATATGCCGGCTTGCGAGCCATATCTCCAACAGTGATACTTTCAAGTAGTTCACCCTTGGAAATCAGACGGAATATAATTATGAGCAGTATAGAATGGGGTATGCAATTAATAAATAATTAGAAACTCACATAATGTATATCAGGATTAAAGTTTTCTAACCTTCTGAAAAGCCAGAAGATCTTTTGCATATGCAATACCTATTATATTAGCTATTCGGTGCTCAAAAACCGGTACCCTAAGGAAAAAAAAAAAATCCAGTTGACATATGTATAATGGGGGAAAAAACTAGAATCATTGTGCAGATTTTTTCTACACCTCGAGTACTGATTAATGACCCACAAGCGATGAAAATCTGTAAGTGTCGCATTGACATCCACTGCAACCACCTTAAGAAGAGGCGTCATAACCTCTCTTACGTGTGTTTCTTTCATTTGCAACACATGTTCTATTATACCCTGCGAAGAATAATTTATTCAAGACATATAATAAAAAGTTTACAAATGGACCGACAATTTCTTTTTGGCTATATGGGCACTTATCATGCTCTGGTTACCTGTTCTTTCACCTTTATTGCCCCACTTGACACTGCACGTCTTATCATCAATTTCAGCTCCTCCTTAGTTACATTTGGTTCACTGATAGATGAAAATAAAGGCAACTATTCAGTGCAAAACCTAAAAGATGTAATAAGAATGTCTCAAAATGACAACTATGTATACAGCGCCTTGAATATGAATTTTACCAACAGAGGTGATACATATGAAAATATTAGATGACTTGACAAAAGGTAAAGGCTGAATATATGCATGCTCTGTGCTTCATGAAAGTATAGTTATACAAAATAAGTTGGTGAAACAAGACTAACTTTTTAAACTAATAAGATTTTTCTTCTGCCTCATGCCATGTGCTGCCAACAGTCTAAACGTATAAATCCTTGTATAATTTATTAACAATAGATACAATATGAAAAGAAAAAGATCACTCTTTAACTAACTTTTCTACATACCTTCTTGCCTTGCAACCGAGCAATTTCAGCATCCCCATTAAAAGGTAATTAACAACTCTTCCTACAGGATACAATACAAGTGAAAGCCATGACACTGGCCTGACCTATAGGCATCAGAACCAATATTTGTTACATAAAGAAGTTAAAGAGGAAACATCATGCAAATATAAATGACAACTTACCACAATTCGAGCCACCTCTATGGCATAATCAACAGCAATGCTTTTTGGAGTGATTTCAGTTAGAAGCAAAGTCAAAACCTTGTAAGTGCATATAGATAACACACATGAATTAGATACATGGTTAAAAGATAATCACTCATATGGTTAAAAGATAATCATTCAAGTAAAGGCAACAAGGCATACTGTCATCACTCCGGTTGCTGCACCAACACCAGCCTCACCAAATATTGTTGTTGCAGCATTTGTGACGAGGACGGTTGCTCCGATATTGACTACACTGAGCACAAGAGAATAGCAAAAAATGAGAATTATATATATATATATATTTAAATTGGAAGAAATGAATGATAAAAGGGAAATACGTTGTGCCGATCAGTATGGTGGTAAGGAAACGAGTGACATCGGCCTGAAGTAATTTGAACACACCATCTTCAGATTCCTTTTCAGCCAATTCACGGACCTTGTACAAAATTTCATGACAATGGTCATACTTCAAGACAAGACTTACAGAGGTAAAACTAATATATACATATGAAGGAGACAAACAATTTGTAATAAATGGGCCTAAGAATAATATGGTTTGGGCCTAACAATTTGTAATTAAATTCTTAAGATACTATAATCGTATATAGATCGGAGGAGTCATTAACCAACTGATATCTAAACACACGGCCGTTCACAGGCAATTTACTTTAAAGGAACAAAATAATCCTCGTGTGCATGTATGTCTAGTTAATTCAATTCCCAATATGCGTACAACTTTAGCAATGCTTCTTTGATCAGCCAGACTAAATTAAGTCTGTCTAAATGACGATGCATTCACAGGAAATCACCGTTACTTTTTAATATTTATATTTTATATATATTTTTGGGAGAAATTATAACAAATGAGCATTCGGAGGGGAAAGAAAAAGATACCTTCCAAGGCCAAAGAGTGGTAATGGAAGTCTCTGCCATGGAAAAAAACGCCGAAAGACCCAAAAGTATTGCCAGTAGCAGCCCCTGGTCCTTAAAGACTTGAAGTACTTGAATCAGTTTAGGCCATGCATTGGTAAGCAACAGTATAATTCGTCCAACAACTCCACGTGCTGCATTTTCGACCAATTCAGCTGCAAAAAATTTCTGACGTCCATACACCAATACCGCACGAACCGTTGCAAATAGAATAATTCCCTTCTCCAGCAGTTCTTGAATGAAATTCAAATTTGCTTTGGACGAAGAACTTCCTCCACGGAAATCATCACGGTTTTGTCCTGAACATCTCACTGGCATTTTATTATCATCTTCCCTGTACTTTGATGCCACAAAGCTTCTGGAGGGAAAACGGAAGTAGGTAATGTTTCCAGTTGAAACATGCATTATCGTCGGCAGATTCTGCTTCCTAAAGCACCTGATGAATGGCTGAGTTCTAAGAATACCAGAGGCCATGAGGAAGACAGTCGAATTATAACGTAAAAACAGAGCTCTAACAGAGAGAGTTCTTAATTCAAAAATGAGGAATGGAGGCAGAGAGGGGTTGAGGTTGTTTGCCAAGCAAGAAATTGATGCTAATGCAGGGAGGCGGTAATGGAAGAGCCAAAAACGACATCGCCTGTCAAGAACGGGGCACGGGGATCGCACTGAAGCGAGAGAGCGCAGAGTAATCATTACGATTTGCAACGCCCAACCGCTTCTATGATTCTCTGCGGCCGAGTACCGCGCAGTCCAATAGGTAACAATGTCGTGACCAGTTTAGTAACGCCACGTGGAGATACTTTGGGGACCATTTGAAGTCTCATGTTCTGATTGGTGCAAGACAAATGCCACTATCATTTGTGGCGTCTTTTCTGTTGTTATATTTTGCTGCTTGTTAAGAGAATTACCAAACGTGGATCATCTCTCCTCACCCCTCGCGCGATGAGCTGGGGCTCGTTTTTCCCCTCAGGACTGTTCAAAGTTCAAAATATAAAGATTTAACTAGAAATATTTATTACAAGAACTAAATTAAAAAATAATTGACAAAATTATAAAGAGCAGTATTTTTTTTTGAAAAAATAGTTTAGGTTCTTCTTTTGTGAGTTCAATGCAATTTTGCTTGAATACAACAATTGTAGATCACTTGCATTTTTATAACTTCTTTTGCACAGAATTTTTTTTGTTTAAACAAAATATAATAAGCTGAAATAAACAATATATATTGTGTCCCTTTGGGGACATCCGATGAAATGGGAACGATACAGAAAATATTAGGAGTTATGTGTTTACTTAAAAATGAATAAATTTTAATTCCAAGAATTCATATATTCAACTAAGACATTCACTCGGGACGCAGAAACATTTTTGAAAGAAACTATTTAGGAACAGATGAAACTTTTTTTACTTCAGGAACAAGTAGAAAAAATTTGATTAAAAATTTCATTTAATAATGAATAATATTTATTAATATTATATTATTATTTATATTCGTCGTATTAGATATATATTAGAATATTAGATATATATACAAATTAGATATTAGTTATAACAGAATATAGTTATATTAGAATAAATTTTAGAATTCTAATATATAAATAGAAATAATATAGAAATAGAAATATATAAATATAGAATATATAAATTATATAAATATAGAATAGAATCTATTTTAATTTATTTATTTTTAATTTGAAAATTTTAATAAATTAATTAAAAATGAAAATTTTAATGCTTCTATTCAATGGACATGGTTATTGGCAAGATATACTAAGTTATCAATATTCTTTTCTATTATTCATAAGAATTATGCTATCAATAGCTAAGAATAAAGAGTAATAAAAAACAAAATGGGATTTATTTGTCAGTAATAAATAAATCTCATTTTACTTCTTTTTTGTTTTCCTTTAGTCCACCATCTCAATTTTTAGTGACTCGGGCTCTTGATTTGTTTATTTGATCAACATAGTCATCTAATGATTGATTAATTAATATTGATGCTTTATTACACTATCTTTTATGACATCACTCATAGACCTTACATACTAGAATTCTATATCATTAATATTCTTTTTCTCTCTTTCTTTCACCCTTTCATTTATCCAAATAAAACAATATATGTTTATCAATTTATTAATAAACTAAGTTAAAAATAAAACAATATAGTTCTTAGATCAAATGTGTGTTATTATTCAAACTTTCTATTATTCCATTGCTCATATATAGAATATAATTATATTCTATAATTATAAAATATTCTTTTATATCGGTCCTGAAAGGAGAAGGAAGGCTAGAATACCAAAAGACATCTATTATTGAGTTCACTTGACCCGAGAGTAGAGTACCCTTTTTGGGAACGTCCGGTGCCAAAGTCATTGAATGGGTAAGTCACCAATCCCTAAAACGAATGATATAATATACTTTATCCGTTTGGGTTATGAGTAGGCATTTTACCAAAGATTTCTATTATATCAATATACCCTTATGTGATTCCTGTTGAAGCATATAGGGGGTGGGTGCAGGGCAGACTATTTCAAAACGCACACCCCCCTTTATTAGATGGGGAAGATCACAAAGATATTTAACTATATTTATTCCGTATTGATTCGAGCAAAGTTTTCTTATACCTTTACTTAATATTATATATTCTATTTTTGTATATTATATTTTTTATTTTATTTTATTAAAATCATATGACCATATTATTTCAATCGTGATTAATAAAATATAAGAATTTATATAATAACTATATAAATTTAACCTCCCTATACAAGGTCAAAAAGAAAACCTCCCTATAATGTAAATTATTTTTGAATTATTTTTCTATTTTTATTTATTTATAATAATATTTATAAAAATTTATAATTAATATTCATTATTTTATTTCATTATTTTTTCAAATTCATACTAGTTAAAATTTCATTATTTTATTCATTTTTTTATAAGTGAATTATTTTTTATTTGTTAATTCTCAATTTCATTTCAATATTAATATTTTAATAAAATAAAAGAAAAAATTTCATTTTCTTTTCTATTTTAATATTGATTATTTATTGAAATTCATGATATTGAAATTCATTATCATTATAATAATAGTAAATAATCTATTTAAAATTAAATAAGAAAAATGAAATTGAAATTTATAAATCTATTAAAATAGTATAAAAAATTTATACTACTATATACATAATATACTACATACATACTAATGTACTAACATACAGACTAATAATAAATAGAATAATATTAATATAATGGTATTAATTTTAATATTAATAAAATATGTTTAATACGATTTATCAATTTATTAATAAAATAAGTTAAAAATAGAACAATATAGTTCTTATATTAAATATATAATTATCAAAAAAATATAGTTCTTAGATCAAATATATATTTATAAAAAATAAATATAGTTCTTAGATCCCTGTTCATTTGATCTCGCCCCTCTGTCTATTGTTTCTTCCGGAATCAATACGCAATAAATGTAGTTATTTTTAACTATAATATATATATATATTTTTAAATTTCAATGGTCCAAATTTTTTTAAAATATATATATTGCATCACTTTGAAATAACTTGAATTATGTTTATTTTATTTTGGATAATACTTACATCAATTTTCTTATATTTATTATATTAAATTCTTCAATCATGATCTTATTTTTAAAATATTAGCATTTAGTAGTATTTAATTATAAATTCACATGAAACAAAAAAAAAAACACATGACTATATATGATTAGAAAACTCAATATAGTAGGTATAAAACAATTGATCCGAGTTTTTTTCTTTCATTCTATAATACTCCTCCGGTCCTTATTATAAGACCCCATTTGACTTTTTATTTGGTCCTAATTATAAGACCCCAATCCATTTTATTTCTTATATTTATACATTTTTTTCAGAGATAATCCTTCTAATAATGATAGTTTTAGCTAATATACTTAATTAGCAAGGATATTTTAGGAATGAAAACACTTATTTATTATAAATAACCAACTTAACTTACTTCCTTAATCTCCTCAAATAAGTCAATTGGGTCTTATAATTAGGACCGGAGGAGTAACAGAATTATACATTTAGACTCTCTTACCAAAAAGAAAATACACATCTATGGAGGCAGGGAAGAGGAGATTATGTTCTGATTGGTGCAAGACAAATCCCCAATAATAGACGTTGGCTTTGGGTTTTTTTTTTGGGGGGGGGGGGCTGTGGGTGGCTGAATTTCATCAATTCGAAAACCTATGGCTATATGAAATTAATAGCAAATTACAGTGAAATCTTCACTTTACAAATGAAGCCAGTTAAATACCTGGAGATGGCAGAGGTAAAATCTCATCGTTTAAAATTGCCTTGGCACCATCCAAATGTGTCCATGTTGGTATTCGGAAGTTCAACGTGGATGAAGTGCCAGTCCCTTGCAAAAGTGACTTTCATTGTAAGGAAACATAAAAGAAATCTCCAGGGTTTTCTACAAAACAAAGGTAACAAATTGGCACCACAACCTCCGTAAATCGATCACATATCATTGGAGGAAGTAATTGTCATTTTGCTAATTTTTTTAACAATTAAAATAAATAAATTTAAGCCCCTGAATTGCCATTGTCAGCTTGAAAGTAGCACACCTCTCACAAATCATACAGCATATTGTTTTTTCATATCTGACGTAGTCATGATGTATTAATCAAATTAGTATCGTAGACAAACTACTAGGAAATAAGATTTTTATGAATAATAAAATTATATCATTATAATAGTTTTTTTAATCTATTATTTCATATAAATAATGTATAAAAATAAATTATAATAAATATATTAAAATTTATCAAAAATAAATCTATATATAGTGCAAAGGCAAGGTACAAATTTTAAAAACTACATATTTAATAAAATTTTATTATTCATAAAATTTTCTTTCAGGTTAATAATATATAAGATATATGATTTTATTCTCTCTCGCTCATATAATTTCAATGTTTTGTTATACATAATATGTTATTTAATCTATATGAGAAATATATATTATGTATTTATGTGTATGTATTTAAAAAATAATTTGGCCTGCTGGTAAAAAAATAATAATAATAATTTGGCCTACCCCACACAACGCCAACAATTAAAAAATAAAACAAGTACCTAAATAGTTTATTTTGTTCATCCTTTTCTCATATGACCAGGTCATTTTCTAGTGGAGAGAAAAATTAAAGATGAATGCAAATGGGGAGAGAATGGGAAAGAAGTATGTGTGACGTGTGAGGAAAACGGAAAGGAGAGAGGGTTGGGTGAGGAGAAGCGGTTCGGACCTCTTCCCCTCCGATCTTCTTTTTTTTTCTAACCATTAGATTGACATATTTTTACAATTTAGATTTTAATTTTTTATAAATTTTTTTATAAAAAATTTAAAAAACATTTAGTGCATTTGCAAACCATTAGAATTAAATTTTAATATAATTTGTAATTTATTATTTATTTTTATAATTTAATATTTTAATAATAGTGTTAAAAAGATTTAAGTCTGAACTATTAAAATATTAATCTAATGGTTAAATAAAAAAGAAAGAGGATGGAAAGAAAAGAGAAGAGGTTCTGCACCAGAAGAGAAGAGAGCGAGGAGCATGGAAAAAAGGAAGAGTGCAGTGGTGAGACCCATGAGGTGTAACTTGTCATTTTTATATTGGTTAGGTCATATGTTACGTGACACTCTTGGTTCACTCAAGAATCTCTCTATAGCAATAGAAATATACATTTAGTTATTTATAATTTATAAATAGTACCTTTTATTTTTTATTTAAAGACCATTTTTGTTTAGGAAGTATTTTTTAAGAAGCAATGTTTATTAGGAAGTTTTTTTTTCTTTACTCAATGTCACTCCCAAAATACTTTCAAAATATTCAAAAATGAGTTGCCCTCCCGGTGATAATACTACCACATGAAATTATGTCGCGTGTTATTTCATAATATAATCATACTTTGATCTCGTAATATATAGAATATATTAAATTCAAATTTCAGATACATCAGATTATGTGAAATAATTTCATACTTTTATTTTACCCCTGCTTCTTAATAACATTGTTTGACCTAATAGTGATAACAATTTTTTAAAAAAATAATAAAAATAAACATTGTAGTTGGGAAAAAAAAAAAGAAGAAGAAGCATGAATGAAAAAACACAGTCTGGGCTTGCTTTAGCGAATTACAAACATTGACGTTCCTCGTCGAAGACCATATTTGAGCAATTTTTTTAACAATTAAAATAAATAAATTTAAGCCCCTGACTTGTCATCGTCAGCTTGAAAGTAGCATACCTCTCACAGATCATACAGCTTTTTTTCATATCTCACGTAGTCATGATAGATTAATCAAATTAGTATCGTAGACAAACTAATAGAAGTAGAAAAAGAAATGACATGCCTCCCGTTCTCATGACTAGGGTTCTAGATCAGTAGAATTATATACAAGGTGCATTACTTTTTTTTTTTTTTAAAAAAAAAAAACTTTGGTTAAGAAGAGGGTACCTCTACAGGAGAAAACGTCAATGTAACTCTAAGGTAAGGATCCCATGAAGTAGCAGGAACTACAGTTTGATTAAGCATGACACCCCTGGATTTCCAATTAAGGGAGCTTGATATGTATTGAATGATGTAAAGTGTAGGGTTCTTTCCTCCTTCTTCAAAGTAAATAGAATCCCCCAGCTTTGAGAATGATTCAATCCCTAAAGATGAGCAACAAAGGAAAAAGATGATTGAATTGAGATATGACATACTGCAATTTGATATAAACTGAATTATATCGTGGGGAAAAAATGCAAACCTGTTCCATAGCAGCACCAGAAAGATTCAAACTTTGTTCCCCAACCGTGCCAAGTTTTAGCCTTGGATACTCCACGACCTTGTGGCAGCATATATATCATTACTCCAGGATCTGTACCTCTTTGAATCCCCAAAACACCATTTGTTAAAGCACGCTCATAATAATCTGCATATGATACCTCCTTGGTCCATCTAAATACGTTCCGTGAAACCTGAGAAAACATAACTTTTCATTGCTGATACAAATGAAATGCTGTAAAGTAACTGATAAGCGATGACAAGGCATGATGCATAGAAGAAAATATAATAGAAAGAAACTAAAATTTAGCTGAAATGGCAATTATTATGTGTGCGTTCTCACATACAAACTTGTACATCATAAATTAATATAAATTTTAATAGCATGTTTTCAAATCCTATGTCACGTAAAAGATACACAATTAAGTTGTGAAAACTTTTCACACATTCATACAACTTCCACTCTGGAAGCATACCATAATGAGATTAAAAAAAGGGATAGATGATTGGTTGTAACCTTCAACATGTTATAAGTTGTGCATGACTCTTCATTTTCGGTTGTTTTCAGGTTCTCTGCCATTCTCTTTGGATCATGCCTATACAAAAGTTAAAATAGATGTGCCTAACAAAATCAGGGACTAACTGCCATAACGAGAAACAAAAAGACAATTTCTACTCAAGGCCCTTGTACATATTAAACGGAAGATTTGATGTTCATAAGAAAAACTGAAACTAATTATCATACTCCTCCGGTCCTAATTATAAGACCCAATTGACTTATTTGAGGAGATTAAGGAAGTAAGTTAAATTGGTTATTTATAATAAATAAGTGTTGTCATTCCTAAAATATCCTTGCTAATTAAGTATATTGGCTAAAACTATCATTATTAGAAGGATTATCTTGGAAAAAAATGCATAAATATAAGAGACAAAATGAATTGAGATCTTATAATTAGGACCAAATAAAAAGTCAAATGGGGTCTTATAATTAGGACCGGAGGAATATCTCATTACCAGAACTCACTGACCGATGTCCCTCCAGTTGCATAACTATGAGACGAGTTAATGATATCCATAAAGAATGTTCCAATTTCCTAGTGCAGCAAAAAGCAAGAACAAATCTAATTAGAAAATTGAAATTTTCACAAAGGGAAACCACCTCCAGCCTTGACGTGTATATTCAATGGAACAAGCACAAAAGATATCTAGCAATGGAAATACCATGAACAGGCATGCATCTGAAGTTTAAACAATGGAGACATGAGACAAAAGCCGAAATGCAATACAGAAAAACAAAGGATAAATATTGAAATTAAAAATTTTAAGTTTGGACCACTGAGTCACTAAAGAAAAAGGAGAGACGAAGGCCAATACCCGTTTGTATTAATTTTATTTCTAGCCTTCAGATTTCAGAGTGAATATGTAAGTCCTTTGCAATCTCTAATGCATACCTAAAGTCAATGGGTTTTGAATATTTATTATCTCCAAGTTAGGCCCCAAAGTCAACACGCTTCTCTCAAAAGGCATTCATTATAATTGTCATCACAAGTAAAATATTTTAATAATAAAATAGATAATTAAATTAATCTATAAATAGATTTATGCCAGAAAACTTAGTTTTCTCATCAACTTCTGGAAATTTAAAACATGCATAAAGTTGTTTACCTTATAGAGCGGATCACCAGCGACTTCATACCGCATTTGAGATCCAATAACAACTGGAATATGTGTATTAGCATGAAAATTTGCAATGTCATTAGCCTACATGGAAAAAAAAGTTCAAATTTCATTACTCTTGTAATTTGCAAGAAAATTTAATACAATTTATAGATTGGAAAACAAATGCTAAAGTTCAAATATGAGTTTTAAAATGTTTCAGTCAACTGGGAGTACAATATTGTTAATGATATCCATTTAGACTTTCACTCAAAGGAAAAAAAATGATACCCTTAGAAGAGACATTTTTCTTTGGGATAAAGGAAGATATAGTGATTGTTTAAATACAGGTAAACTTTAAAGGAAACCTGCATAATGAACAAATATAAACATTACCTGCACAGCAAGCAACCCTAAAAAGCATGGCTTGTCAAAAAGGTGAGCCAACAAGAGATGCTTAGGATCTCCCTGCATAGGAACAAGACATGCAATTTCAGGATTGAATTTAGCAAAAATGATCAGGTCTATGAGTCATAATTATCAAGCTGATACATTGACCAATGCAAAGGAGTCAACACTATCATACAAACAAATGAAGCTACAAGATTAGTTAACTCACTGTTATGCTGTATAATTTGTAAAGGACATCATTCATTCCTCCAGTTTCCTCATTCAGTGATTGATAATGTCTAGTTATACTGTACTTTGTAATCACATTCTGTACACGGCTGTAGAAGTATTCAGTCATCCATGTCACCATTTTCAGAGCATGAGGGTTTCGAGCCATAAATCAAGCATGATTAATATTTTAAAAAGAATCATAATCAGTCCGTTGTCTACTGAAACATTATAGATTCCATGCCACTAACTATGTCACTTTCAGGTATTGGTAAAAAAAAAATGCCATTTTTAGCTGTATAGGCTTGTTTAGGACATCAACTTTATCACAAAAAAGGCGGGGGGGGGGGGGGGGGGGGACTAACAAGTTAGGTTGTCAGAGTAATTTGGAGATATACATGAGTAAAGCACACTCCATTTGAACCCACATTTTAGAAGTTAAAACAGGACGGCAGTATAACTCTTCCATACATAAATCAGTTGCAAGCAATGAGCGATTTTTGAACCTCAATAGATATCAAAGAATTACCTTTAAGGGTGAGACCATCAACCTCAATGAGTCCGAGGAAATGACAAATTTTCTATGTTCCCCTCAAATTGCTTGGCCAGAGCAAATGAGAAAGGGTATTAAAGCATGTTACTCAGAAAATAGCACTTATTTAGGTCCAAAAGAAAGACTTCTTATTCTTCCAGGACCAATAACGAATAGACATCCTGTTCTCAATTAAATCTTGTAGCATGTTGGGACTTGGCCATCTCCTTTAAGACAGCCCCAACAATTGCCGCCTGCTCAAGGCAATCAGCCTTATGCAATGCATCTAAAAGAACAATGCAGGTTTTGCCATTTATGCGACAGCCTTTCATTCGAGTCTCCTCAAAAAGTGCATATGCATCTATTGCTTTATTCGCATTGCTTAAGCCTTCTATCATAGCATTATAACAAGCCGAATCAGGCATGCCACCATTTGCCTTAAATCTCCCAAAGAGATCATTAGCCTCGTAAACATTTCCAGCCTTTGCAAGTCCTGATATCATGTTGGTATACGTGATGGTATTGGGCTTTAACCCCTTTTTCTGCATCTCCTGCCAAAATACAAAGGCCTTGTTAAATTTTCTAACCTTGCAAAGACCATTTATCATAATGCTGTAGGTTACTACATCTGGATGACATTTCATGTCCTTAATGGATTGAAAGCAGACAAGAGCTTCATCAATTTCCTCAGCTTTCACCAATGCATCAAGTAAGCAATTCCATGTGAATATAGTAGGGGTCAGACCTCTCTGCATTAACTCCTCCATAATTAAATATGCTTCATCAATCCTTCCCACCTTCCCAAACCCATCAATCAGGCTACTATAGATGACTACGTTAACATCTATACCTTTTGATTTTGCTTCTTCAAACAACATGTATGCTTCATCAAGCCTATCTATCTTAGCAAGTCCATCGATCACAGAACCATAAGTCACAACAGTAGGTTGGAAACCCTTTGTCTTCATTTCCTCAAGCAGTTCATAAGCTTTATTTACCTTTCCAGCCTTGCAGAATCCATCAATAACAGCATTGTAAGCACGGGTATCCAAATGCAATCCTTGCTCCTTCATCTCATAAAATAATTTATAAGTTTCTTTTGCAAAACCTGCTTTAACAAGACCATGAATTAAAATTGAATAGCTCCTAACATCAGGAGTTAACCCTTGAGTTTTTATTTCTTCAAATAAAGCCCTCCCTTTCTCAATTTCACCAGATTTGAAAACACAATCCATATAAGTATTTAGGAGCACAAGATCCGGAGAACAGCCACTATGGAGCATCTCTTTGTAAATTTTGTGTGCATCCTCTTTCCTATTACACTGGAAGAAATTCTTGATAAGAGAAGTATATACAACAACATTTGGAATCTGACCAGAGTCTAACATCTGTTCATACAGCTTGTAGGCATCACCCACCCTGCCATGTCTGCCCAAGCCATCAATAAGAGAACAAAATGTTCCAGCATCAGGTGTGCAAGCTTTATGGTCCAATTGTAAGAATATGGAACAAGCTTCATCAAGTCTTTGAGCCTTGCACAGTCGATCAATCATTATGTTTATAGTTATGATATTAGGGAACAAGCCAGCTCTTTCCATCACATCCTGAACAACCATAACAGAATCAACTTTTCCTGCTCTGCAAAGCATGTCAACTAAAATATTGTAGGTTGTAAGATTGGGAGGTGCATCCTTTTTCATTTCTTCATAGACACTCAATGCTTCCTCTATTTTACCCTTTTTCCCTAGGCAAGTAAGAATGCAATTGTATGCAATTACACTAGGAATACATCCCTTTCTCTTTTGCCTCTCAAGTAAACTGTATGCTTCATCAAACTTTCCAACCGAACCATAACCCATTATCATGGTATTATAAGCATATACACAAGGTACACTCCTGTTGAGATCCATTTGTTCAAACAGCTCAACAGCTTCCTCCAACCTCCCAGCCTTGCAAAGAACCCCTATCATGCTAGTGTATGTCACATCATCAGGCATTAACCCATGTGCTTTCATTTCATGGAAGAATTTCCAGGCCATGTCCACCTTACCAACTTTGCCAAAACAATCTATACATACATTATAGAGAACTACATCAGCATTGATTGAATTACTCTTCATCTCATCCAAGAAGGAAAGTGCAGCATCAACAAGGCCCTCCTTGGCAAATTCACGGACAAGGGTAGTGAACAAATGAACACTTATTTCATAACCTAGTTCTTGCATTTGGCGAAGAAGTCTGAGCATAAGATCAGATTCATTAGCACGAGATGCTGAGAGGGCACCAATCAACGTTGTGTAAGCTGAAAAAGCAGGGCGAAATTTGAATTTCCTCATTGTTTCAACAATGCCAACAGCTTCTCTCAACTTCCGTGATTTGACAGAGGAGGCAACTAGTTCGACGCAGGTATCAATAGATGGTCCAAATCCAGCAATACTCATCTCTTCAAGAATCTGTTCCAAGAAGTCGAAGTTTTTGCTCCTAGCCATGACCCTGAGAAGTGAATTGTATGATTCAGGATGATGTGCTTGTTCAGTTTTTCCCTCCACCCACCTAAAATAGTGTAATGCCTTCTTGACATCATCTAACCTCCTTAATACTCCAACAACTATTTCTGGTTGAGGCTTTTCAACAAGCATGGACAGTGCATTCTCAGTCGCTGGTCCCCAGGGATCAGTCCCCAAAACCCGGCATACATCGTCCACCACTTGGCTGTGGCAAAGCGAATTTCCAGAATGATATTGATTTCTCCCCTCCACAGAGGGAACAACCTTTTCGTATGGATCGGAAGAAGAAGGCCCATTTGATGAAGATGAGAACTTTTTCCATAAAGGATCGATTTGCCGGCACTTCAGAACATACCGGAAGTATGATACTGCGACAATGACAATAACAACAACAAAACTAAAACTTAAAGTGCAAGAGAGGAAAAAAACTGAATTTAAAACAAATGAGTTTGATATTGATCCATTGAATAAGGCATTTGGTAACGACAATAATTAATAATTCAAACGAACATTACCTTGATACTTCAAGTGAATCTTCATGTATGCAGACCCAAGGCAAGATGCTGATGTGTACTCCTTGGGCAGCTTATTGCACTTTGCGTCAATTCATAGAAGAATTAACCACCCAGTATAAACTATCCAATCCATGACAAGATCAACAGAAGCAGGGTCATTCAGGCTTAACTTGACCAAAGAAGAAATAGGGTTTCGTTATGTTAAATATATATATACACACATATTCAAACAGAAGGGAAGAGACAATGGAACACTCTATGAGGAGCTTTATAAATCTCGACCATTCGGAGTTTCAACTCCAGTTATTCCGCAGGAAAAGTAAAGAGGTAACAACGGCAACGATTGAAGAGCTAGAGGGCCAGGGTATTGGGATAAAGGATTTCTGATTGGGTTCAGGGGATGGAGATAATTCATTCGCTGATAAAGAGCTTCTTGTGTTAGCAATCAGCAAGTGTTCGACGCAGCCGAAGTGCTGAACTGCGCAGAATAGGTTTTCCTGGTCAAAATACCCATTGATAAACCAAAAGGCGAAAAAAATTAAAGAAAAAAGGGTCTGTTTATTTCTTCTTCTTCTTCTTTTTCAGAGAATAATTTTATAAAATTGCTTTTCAGAAAAATCTAAAAAAACAAAAAAAGATCTGATTGTTTTTTAAAAAAAACATAAAAACTAGTTTGAAACAATTATTTTTATTTGATTTACCTTTTTTGCGACAATTTGAAAAACTATTTGTATGAATGATGTATCAATACTGTGTATAGAGTGATTAAAATCTGCAGAATATCAATATTTTCTGTGTCTAAAAATTTATCATATAAAAAATAATCAAATTAGAGCAGAAAATGAGGGTGACATTTTTGGCAAATTTATATATAGCTACCTCCATCCTAATTTTTGTATGATGACAATTTTGGACTCATTAATTCTTTGAGGAACAAACTCTTGAAGACAAGCTTTTCTCCTCCCTCCTTTATTACCACTCTCACACGGTTGATGGCTTAGTGCGTATTTGATACATCATGTTTAGCAAAAACTACTTCTGCTTTTCTTTCCTTCTTTTTTTTAATATATATACGCACCACCAAATATGTCTTTTTTTTGTGTTCTTTTTTTTTTTTTTTACGACAGTCCATTTTTGCGATTAAATATGTCCCTATTTTATGTATAAATCAATCTTACAAAATTGCTACCTCCGGTCTCTTTAACATGAGACCTCGTTTGACTTTTATTTTGATCTTAAATATAAAATACTAATTTATTTTATCTCTTATATTTATATATTTTTTCCAAATTAATCCTTCTAATAATAGTAGTTGTAGCCAATACACTTAATTAGTAAAGATAGTTTAGGAAAGATAACATATATTTATTACAAATAACTAACTTAACTTATTTCCTTAATCTCCTCAAATTAGTCAACTAGCTCTTATAATTAGGACCGGGTATAGCATTAGGTAATTTAGTCTCGTTCCCATTATTCTGCTTCTTCTTTTTTTCCCCCGGAAAATTCCTACTGTGGGGAAAAAAAACAAATACTTCGAGGCCTAAACATTGGCTACAATCTGTGTCCGAAAACAAATTTAATATAAATTTAAGATAAAAAAATTGAAATTGTAATTAAAAAAAAAAGCACGAAAGGCCCCTTGAGTAATAGGGTGCGATATGAAAAGCCAAGTTAAATTTTACAAGCTAATAAATTGCAAAAAATGTGAAACAATGCATTAACATTCAAACCAATCCTTCACAACCACCAAACTCATTATTATTCTCAAAACAAACATGTTGGTTATTAGCTTCCACTGCGGAACTCGGATGGAGACATAATTCATCATATATGAGACTAAAGACATGTCTCATCATCATATAAAGTGGTCATTTAATAAAACGTACAAGACTAATTAACTATAATAACGTTTGGGGATTAAAATCAGGTGATTTTTCCTTCTCATGGTGGTGCCTAAAGTTTCAGTCATATCTAGGGTTTCTGGAATAGTCCCAGAAGGAAGCTCCCAGTCAAAACGACAAAGCAAGTGAGCAAGAACTATCTCCACACTGGCCACACCAAATAACATCCCAGGACATATCCTCTTCCCAGAACCAAATGGTAAGTACTCAAAGTTGAAACCTTTGTAATCTATAGCAAGGTTCAAGAATCTATCCGGCAAAAACTCTTCTGCTAAGCTCCAATAATCAGGGTCTCTCCCAATGGCCCAAACGTTCACAAGAACTTGTGTTCCAACGGGTATTGTGTACCCATTGATCTCACAAGTCTGTGTGCACTCTCTTGGGATCAGAAATGGAGCTGGAGGATGCAGTCTCAGAGTTTCCTTGATCACTGCTTTAAGATACCTTAGATTCTCAAGAGTTGTCTCGTCGATACATCCTTTGTTGTCGGAAACTACTTGTCTGATTTCTGCTTGTGTCTTCTTCATCAATCCAGGGTTTCTCAGTAGTTCAGCCATTGCCCATTCTATTATCGTGGATGAGGTCTCAGTCCCTCCCAGAATCATGTCCTGTTTATATAGACATCATCATGAAACAGATAACGATCCATGTGTGTTCATATAGAAATGGCGAAACAAGAAGCAGAAAGTAATAATAGTACTAAGTAATTACCAACATGACGGCTTTGACGTTGTCTGATGTAAGACTACCATCTTCCTTAGCGTTCAACAGAGCAGAAAGAAGACAATCTGCTTCACCTCCGACAACCTTAGATGATGTTGCTCCAACTCCACTTGTTATCTTCTCAAGAACTGTATCAGCCATGCGATGCATCGTCTCCCACTTGCGCTTCATTCCTGAGATCACAGCGAGCCAATTCTGCGAAGGGAATATGTCGCAAATGCTTCTGCTTTCTGATGACTTCAACATTATCTCAGAGATGAAGAAAAGCTCGTCTCGTGATTTGTAGTTCTCCCCAAAAGCTGCCTTTGAAGTGATATCAAAGATGGTGGTGTAGATTTTCTCACTGAGATTCACCAGTGATGAAGATCTTGCTTGTTCTGATAATTGTGTCACCAGACTTGACACTTCTTTCTCTCTTAGTGGTTGGAATGATCTTACTCGCTTGGCATTTACCTGTTGCAGGGGAAGCATAAATTTACTATTCACTGTATCATATCATAAAAATTACTCCCTCCTATTCTCAATATGTCTCATATATTTAATAAATTTATCTATTTGTCATAATTTAAGAAGTATACTATGTATCTCACTTTCCTAATATAATCAAATTAGCAAAGTAACAAGAACCAAACTCGATGAATCGCATAAGATAACGATTCAAAGATTAGTAGTTCAACTCAAAGTCAACATAATTACGAAAAGAGTAATATTTAAATAGAAAAAGTAACAACTCATAAGTAAATATAATATTCATATATAACTAATACATAATCCAACCAAAAAAAAAGGCAATAATGCATAAATATGATGGATTACTAATTTTTTTCTATTATTATTACCCAAAAGAAAATCCAAATACTCATCCACGCACGCACTTATCATGCACTATACCATCTCCAGAGTCAGGCAAAAAAAAGAAAATACCATCTCTAGAGAGCAAATTTTTCTGAGAAGCTTCCAGTGGTCTCCGACAGGAGAGAAAGTGATGTTGGTGGAGCCATAGAGCACAACATCGGCGGCGGGAAGATGAGGCCTCTGAGCAAATATCACATCATGAGTTCTCAGCACCTCTTTCGCCGCTTCCGCCGACGACACCACAACCGTCGGCGTTTCCCCCAGCTGAAGCCACATCACCGCCCCGTATTTCCTCGACAGCTCTCTGAACCGATGGTGCGGCAGAGCGCCGGCCAGATGGTGGACACTCCCAATCACAGGAAGCCTCCATGGCCCAGGCGGAAGCTTCTGCGAACATGATCTCCAGGTGGCTTTCAGTACTATCTTGAGAAAAAGCAGTGATATTGCCGTAATTAGGAAGACGGCGGCGACGTTGACTGAACTGAAGAACGAGTCCAGATCCATCGGCATAAACTGAGAAGAAAGTGATGCTAGTGTACAGATTATATGCTCTTTTTGGGCAAGTTCCAGTGATCTATATGTATATAATGTAAGAAATTCCCGCTTTGTATACCCTATATATATGTATATATATTCATAATGTAATCATATTTCATGGTTCGTGTTTCCCGCGGGCTCATTATTTAATCAACATATATACTCCTCCGGTCCTTATTATAAGACCCAATTTGACTTTTTATTTGGTCCTAATTATAAGACCCAATCCATTTTCTCTCTTATATTTATGCATTTTTTTCCAAGATAATCCTTCTAATAATGATAGTTTTAGCCAATATACTTAATTAGCAAGGATATTTTAGGAATAACAATACTTATTTATTATAAATAACCAACTTAACTTACTTCCTTAATCTCCTCAAATAATTCAATTGGGTCTTATAATTAGGACCGGAGGAGTATATATATATATAAAATGTTCTAGGGATAATTAATCTCCAGCTCCTTATAGTTTCATCTGATTTTTAATTAGGTCCTTATAAATTTTTTTCTTTTTATCAGGTTCTTTTAATTTCACATGTTTTCACTTAGGTCCCTCTATTTTTTTTTATTAGGTCCTTATAGTTTCACTTATTTTTTAATTAGGTCCTTTGCCATTTTTAAAAAATTATTTATTAACTTTATTCTTTAAATTTAATTTCATTTTAAACTAATATTATATAATTAGACAAAATAATTAATATAATCATTTAGTAATTAATAATTAATCAGAATAATTAATTATACTTAACTATAAATTATTTATAATTATATTCTAATTTTAGAAAATTTTATAATTATAAAAAACAGAATTGAAAAATAAATAATACATTTGTTTAACTAAAAATTTAAAAAAATATTAACATAAGATTTTTATAATAATTTATTATTTTTAGAATATTATTATTTATAGAATAAAGAATAAAAACTACAAGACCTAATTAAAAATAAAGTAAAATAATAAAGACCAGATAACAAGAAAAAAATTATAAGGACCTGATTAAAAACATATGAAAGTACAAGAAGTTGATAAAAAGAAAAAAATTATAGGGACCTGATTAAAAACCAATTAAGACTATAGTTTAAAATGAAATTAATTTTAAAGAATAAAATTAATAAATAATTTTTTAAAAACAACAAAGGACCTGGTTAAAAAGTAAATGAAACTACAAGGACCTGATAAAAAGAGAAAAAAATAGAGGGACCTAAGTAAAAACACGTGAAAGTAAAAGAACCTAATAAAAAGAAAAAATTTTATAAGGACCTAATTAAAAATCAGATGAAACTATAAGGACCCGGAGATTAATTATTCCAATGTTCTACGATAGTTACAAACTGGCAATAGGAAAAGAGACATGATCAAATGTGGGATCAAAACGAGGGACCACCAACCATTGCTCTGTTTTTTCTGTTTCTGCAAAAACAGAGCAGAAGTTATGGTCTCTTTGATACGGTGAAAATCTTGCAATGAAAAGGAAAAGGTTTGATTTTTAGAATAGTTATTGTAAAGTGCCAAAAAATAATTTAATTATTAAAAATCTCAATGACAATTGAGTAATTATTTTTTACTACCCCCAGTCCTAATTATAAAAACCAGTTGACTAATTTGAAAAGATTAAATAAAGAAGTTAAGTTAGTTATTTGTAATAAATATGTATTTTTTTTTAAAATATCCTTGTTAATTAAGTATATTGATCAGAACTACAATTGTTAGAAAGACTATTTTGAAAAAAAATACATAAATATGATAAATAAAGTGGATTAGAATATTATATTTAGGATTAAAATAAAAATAAAATAAGATATTATATTAAAGATGGAATGTAGTATATTGAAACTCACCATTGTATGCTCCTTTTTTGTCAACTGTTAACGAACATTTGGCTGCAACATTTTTCTGCAACTCAATTTGCAGCAGCAGCAGCAGATTTTCTAGTGCGTAAGAAAACTCACCAATTTTGGTGGGAATCAATTTTCAATCATCCTCAGAAATGACAAATACCGAATTGTGCTTAAAATTTCCATGTTTGTCATAATATTATTATATTCATAGCTCACGACCTCACGTGTCGCCCGCGTTCTCATTATTTTTTATTTTTTTAACGCCAAGGACTTGTTCGATTGTCGGTAGGATTACGTTCTTAATTTCTTATGTTTCGGAACACAATGACCCCAACTAGAAATTTGAACTGGGAAAAAGGTCACATATTCCCATGCATACTCTGACGCCAAGTAATAATGTCAACTGCACTTAAATTACAAGCCAAAGGGGAACAAGTTACTTATAAGCCGTTTGGAATCACTGAGAGTATACTACGTGCTATTTACTATGTCCGGTCTTTAATATAAAATCTTGTTTAATTTTTATTTTAGTCTTAAATATAATACCCTAATCTACTTTGTCTCTCATATTTATATATTTTTTTCCAAGATAGTCCTTCTAATAATTGTAGTTCTAGCCAATATAGTTGATTAGTAAGGATATTTTAGGAAAGACAATACTTATTTATTACAAATAACTAACTTAACTTCTTTCCTTAATCTCCTCAAATTAGTCAACTGGGTCTTATAATTAGGACCGGAGGTAGTATGATATAAAGCCTAACTAATTAATTAATCTGACTTGTAAACTATTACCTCCTGTCCTAATTATAAGAGCCAGTTGACTAATTTGAGGAGATTAAGGAAGTAATTTGAGTTAGTTATTTGTCATAAATAGGTATTGTCTTTCCTAAAAATATATTTACTAATCAAGTGTATTGACTAAAACTTTTATTATTAGAAGGGCTACTTTGGAAAAAAAATGTATAAATATTAGAGACAAAGTGGATTGGAGTCTTATATTTAGGATCAAAATAAAAATCAAATAGGGTCTTATATTAAGGACTGGAGGTAGTAATATATAATATAGTGATATATATAAGTATTTTGGATAAATCATATATTATAAGCTATAATTAAATAATTTATTTAGTTTTTTTAATCTTTTTAAATTAGTTAATTAAGTCTTATATTAAATAGAAATGATATTGACGAGGGTGGCTACTCATAATACTGATCGTAGTTGTTGATGCAATAGAGGGAATTTGTAGAATAGGGTTCAAAAATACATGTGCGCCCACACTGCGATAATAAATTCAGAATACGCGCACGTATAGACTAGCGATGGATCAAGACACGATGGATACCGATCCCGATCATGTATATCCGTGCGTGTATGTCTCTTCTCAATCTCATGAGGACTCTGCTTAGTTTGCTTTTATATATTTTGTCTTTGGTTTTCCACTTTTGTTACTACTACTCCATATCTTTAATATAAAATTTCGTTTGATTTTTATTTTGATCTAAAATATAAGACCCAAATCTATTTTGTCTCTAATATTTGTGTTTTTTTTTCAAAGTAGTCTTTTTAACAATAATAGTTTTAACCAATGTATTTGATTAACAAAGATATTTTAGAAAAGGCAACATCTATTTATTACAAATAACTAACTTAACGTCTTTCCTTAATCTCTTAAAATTAATTAATTAGCTCTTATAATTAGGACCAAATAGTATTATATTATTGTTCTCTCTGCCAATTACTAGAATAACCTGACCGCGAAAAAAAATCTAATTGAGTAATCTCAATTTATAAATTTATAATTTCTTAAAGCAATCCCATTAAGTTAGTTTTCATCCAGATAGTTTCCAATACGGATGAGGGTAAGGATGCATCTAGTAATCCAGTCCCTTTTCTCTGGTGCATCCAGTACACTAACTTTTTTTTTTTTGACGATGTATCATCACTATGGGATGCAACATAGAAAAGATCAATGTGTTGTATGCACAATTATCCTACAAATAATTAAAGGAAAAACTTAGTTCAAATTTTTTATATATATTATGTCAAGTTATCCAACCACACAAAGTTATGTGTCTTTTTTTATTTTATGTGAATTTATAATTAAATGCTATTAAATTCTAACATTTCAAAAATAAAACACGTGGTCATATGTAATTATAAAACTTAACATGATAGATATAAACAAACTTGAGGTAAGTATGTTAGAACAATTCACATGAACACATATATTTATCCAAATAGTCATATAGAATTCTACAATCATCAGAGTAGCAGCGGAAGACTTATAAATACCTCTCGCCATGCTAGATAGTCTGAAGAAGCAATCCACAATGCTTCTGGCCTTGATCTGGATTAGAATAACTGAAATTATTCAAATGTTGTTAGTAGAAAAGATATCAGGATCTCTTCTGACTGGGAGGTGGGCAGAGTGATGGAATAAGAAAGAGCCGCCACCAGTCAGGGAACCTCAAGAGCCATGTATTAGGTTTTCACAGATGCTCACTCAGTTAACCGTCAAAAACTTAACCCACCATCAAGGTCAAGAATGACTAAAAAGTATCGAGTCTAGAACCCTACCTGGACTGGGCCTAACTGACTAACGGGCCATACTTTGGATATTTTAATTAAAACAAAATAATATAATATAATATAAAATATATAATTAAAATATCTTACATTCTCCCACTTGGCCCGTTCATAATATGTCAGTTGACATGTCAAGATTAATTAAGGCAATACTATTAGAATCATGGCGATAAATCCCCTTAATCGAGTATTATCTTCCATGTATTACAAATAGCATCCTTACTTAATGGGTTATAACTTTATGAACAAACCTTAAATGTTTATTCGGTTCCAACTTGAATGTTTGTTAATCTCACATAATTCAGGTACCAAACTTGAGACAACAAACCAAAATTTGAATTTCATCACTTGATAACACCTCATTTAGATCACTACATGTGATCCATCTCTGATAAGATATTGATCCTTTGACATTTTTAATAGCATGCTCTTTATTCAAAGGATTTATGCTTTATGTGTTTTATGACCAATTAAATCCATGGTCATATAATAAACACCTTTGATGAATTTGAAATTAATTCAATAATTTAAAATC